TTGACCCTACCTCTCTCACTTCTAGAGATTTGTCCAAAGGGAACAAGGAAGGATGTGCACAAAGTTTTGCCCCCAAATATTGGCATTTTTTTGTAAAAACTGTAAAGTATAATCAATCAGCTGGTTGAATAATAAAGGCTAGTCAAGTAATTCCAGTAAGTCAAAATGATAGAGTACTTTGTAGTTATTAAAATTGTCTAGAATGCATATATTCACAGCAAACATTGTCACAACTCTGTTAAATAGAAATGATCAAACAGAAAAATATATTAAAACAAAATATGATAGTTTTATAGATTAGGTATGTTTGCATATATATAAATTTACAAGTATACTCATGTATGTATTGAAAAATATATAAGAAAGTATCTTCAGGTATTCTCTATCCATTTTCCTCCTTGGGGGACTCATCAGAAATTCCTGATTTGTCTATGATCAATATGAATTATGTACTTCTGAAATAAAGATATAAAATGGACACAATAAAAAATCCTTTGTATCAACAAAGTCTTTCTAAAATAAGGGATAGAAGGATAAATTCAATGAATTCTTTGCAATTTGTAGGTTAAAAGGAAAGACTGCGTGAGTTTGAATTTGCTGCAAAAATCATAGATAGAAATGGATAGGAATAATTATCATCAAGAGGCATTTGATTTGCATGCTTCATATCTCATATCTGTTAGACTTTTAAGATAAAAAGTCCTCCTGATAAGCACTCGACATCAAGATGCTAATGTTGAGATTTTTTTTCATCTCTGCAGTTGATTCTTAGAATATATTGCCTTTTATTTTAGATCAAAACTGTGTTTGATCCAAACATAGCCACATAGATCAGGCCCTTACAACTAAAGTCAACCTATTTATAATCACAGGTGGTTTTTTTAAGTCTCAGATTTTCTCTTTAGCCCTGTGATGGAAAGCGGGTGAAAGCACCACTTGGAGAGCAACATCTCTGCCTTATTTCGGAAGCAGTCCTCTTTACTCAAATAGGAAGTTAAAAATGCGAACGCGACCAGCCTGCCAATCTGTAACACAGGGTTGTGAATATCAGAGCTATGAGAGAACTGGTTTTGCCTTTAACAGAAACCCGGAGAAGTAAGTCCAAATTAAAATCGCTATTCATCAATTGTTGCTGGAAGTATTTGGCAACACAACTCATCAACTATCACTTCAATCATTCTATCCCAGGGCTGCTCAAAGGAGGCAATTTGGGAGTGAGAGAGGAATCAGGTATTCTGGGTTACTACAACACCAAGACAACTATTTCTAAGGATTTTTTATTTATTTAGTCATTCGATTTTTAACTAATTTTTTCCCTTCACTCAGTGAATGCTTTTAGGTACTTAGGGGTGCCATGATGAGTCCACTGACACAGCCCCACTCCCCAAGGAGCTTACAGGATAGGAGGATTGAAAACCAGTGAGTCACCAAAATTACAAATGGTGATGGTCACTTGGATGAAAGACAACGGGATCCAAGAAAATACCATCGGAAGGTGCCAATTTATAATGGGCTGTCTGGGGGAAGGAGGCCTAGGAAGCCCTTAAGGAGGGCACATTTAATGATAACTCAAAGCATGAGAGTCCTTGACCCAGGTTTCTTGATCACTCTAGTGTCACTCTCTCCTGGTCTTCCTGCTATGAGAAGGCCACCGCGGAAGGTGCTTCCTCTTCGAGTGGGTCTTGCACAACAACGTCTTTCAGAGCTAAGTTCAAGACTTCCTTTGCTTCTCATTCCAAACTTGTAACTAAGCCAAGGTCACCCATTTTACTTCTGTGACCTCAAGGATCACCTGCAAGCCAACAATTCCCTGCTCTAGTTTTCCAGGTCTGACTGCTTTTCTTAGCTCGCCATCCAAACAGCAACTGCCCGTGTGGCTGCCTCGTGGTAAAAACGCATAGAAATCACCCAGTGGGCATGCCCAACACTAAAATCAAGATATTTACTCTGAAGATCCTCCTCCAGCTGTCTCCACCTCCCTATGGAGGACCACTCCCTCACGTGCTGTAATGAAAAGCAAGGAGTTAACTCATGACACTGCTTCTTCATCTCTCAGATCTAATTAGTTGTCCTCTAGATATTCACAATATATCTTGAATTTCATCCCTTTTTCCTATTTCCCCTGTTGTCAATTCTTGCTTGGATACTGCAAACTTTTTCTTTTTATTCCATCTATTCGTGTCCCACTCTGATTAAGAGAAAATCTTTTCATATTATTCCCTGGCTTTAAAATGCTTTCATTGTTTTGAAATGGTGTACCAACAGCAATGGGTAAAGAAAGAAGACAATTTTCCAAAATTGAGTGTGGTGATGAATGCACCACCCTTCTCAACACAACAGAAGTATTGAATTGTATGATATATATTCATTCTATCTCAAGAAAACTGCTCTTTCAAGGAACCCGATTAGATGAGTATTCAGAGGCAAGCAGAGAAAAAGGTTGGATTATTCTTGAACTTTACAATCAATAGTGTCTAACATAGCCTTCAGAGCACTAACCAAAATACTCAAAACAAAAAGCTCAAATCATTCTGATTCATAATGACTCCATAGGTCAGGACAGACTTCTGAGGGTTTCAAGGCTGCGAGTCTTTACATGAGCAGAGAACCTTAGCTTTTTTTTGGTGGGACGGCTGGAGGTTTCTAACCATCGATCTTGTATTAGCAGTTCAACTCATAAACCACAACATCACTAGAGCTCTTTCCTATCAAATAGTGATTGAATAATTAAATATATAAATTTAGTCCACTAGCCCTTTTGTGAGATGATAAGTTCTTCACTCTGGGGAATATATCTGCTCTTTCATTGCTATAAGCCCAAAACTGGTCTACATAGTACATCAGTCAGAGTTGGTCTTGAAAATGATTGTCATATCTTATGGTACAGCTCTCCCTCCAGTTAAATTGAAAACACTCACTTGATGAAAAAGACAATTTAAAAACAGAAGCAAAAATGCTCAGTTCCTTACACACTGAATGCAATTCTACTACGCCCTTTATCCAGGCAGGTAAGGAGAGATGGTACTCTTGTTTTCAGTGAGATCTAAGAATAAATTCTTTAAAAAATGTTTTTTAACCCCTGCGATTGAGTTATATGATCCACAAAATTTTAAATTGCTTCAAGTACATAAATGTAAATCCATTCTTGGTTAAATCACACAAGTATCATTCAACAAGAAAAAAGTGTATAAAAGATAGGAAGTCCTTTAGAAGGGTAGTCGTAAAACTGGGGGCCTGAATTGTCCACTGATGAGAGCATCTCAGTAACAGATGAGTGTGTCATTCTGACAGGCTGATTAGGGAGAAACAAATATAAAGGGTCTGGAACAGAAAGGATACTTGCCACAATTGTTTACTTTTATCGTGTACCAAAGGGTTTGCTCCTAGTTTTGCCATAACCTAAAATCAGTGGGAAAATTGTTTATGTTCCTCGGTTTATAGATGATGTAATGATATGAGTAGTATCTTCAACACCTTTTCAGTTATAATGTGCAGGCTTCTCCAATTAAACCCCAGGAAAATGCTGGGATTGCATGAGTGGAGGCAAAAGATGCTCACGCAATTTTTTTCCTGGTTCAGTTATATAAACATTTATTATCATTAAGTAAAGTTAAGACATCATCAAAAGTGAGACTTAGCATTTTTAGTCCTACTAATAAATAAGCACTGACATTTTAGCCGAGGGTAGCCAACCTAATCAAATGTGAAGGAACAGGTTCATAATCCTAAATCTGTTTCTCCGGATACAGGACCTAGCTCCAGATGCTAATGGACATTCTATTTGATTGTGTTAAGACACACAGGACACTGGCAAAGAGACACCATGCAATTTTAAAAATAAGTGACTTGGGAATATTCATACATGCAAACACAAACGCAGAAATGCTTGATATTTGTATAACGCGGTGACTATAATTAATGTCACTAAATATGACACACAAACATGGTTGAAATAGAAAATTCTTATATATCCTTATATATATGGCCACAATACATTTTATGTTAAAAAACATGATAATCTGACATATAATCTAAATCAACCCCAGGAGGAAAAAGAAACAACCCAGATTTATTGTCATCGAGTCCATGCTGACTCATAGCAAGTATCATCGAAATCCAAAAGAAAAAATAAATTCACATGCAAGGCTAGATTTTAAGTTTTAAATACAGATTTCATTTGAAATACAATTCCTTAAAAAGAGAAAGTGACTTTAGCATTGGCAAAGGGAGTCCCCTAAGGAAGAAAAATTGCATAACCAGATGGTGAAGAAAGATCGCCCACGTGCTGAGCGCAGATCTTGAGGAGGCATTTCTAAGAATGAAGTGGCACTTCCCAGCCTGGGCCACTTCCCACAGGATCCCTATTTAACCCACAGAAAGCAAGGGGCCAAACTCAACAACTCTTGTCCTCCTGGCGTCACAGTGACCAAGACTAGTTTTCAACTCTTCACATGGTTCCAAAGGAAGTTTGAGTACCAACCACTTGAAAACATCCTCTAAAAAGTCTGCCTTAGACAATCTGTCTTGAACTAACATCCTCCTTTTAAAATGGGCCTGTAAACGTACCTGAGCACAGGAAGCATTCAGTTTAATGTATGGCACGCATCTGTTCCACTTTCTCAGTGAGCAGAAGTTTTAAGGAAACTCAAGTCCCAAACTTCATCAAAGGACAAAAAGAACAAAAGAAAGAAAGAAAGAAAACCCTTGGCAACATGTAAGACTGAATTTAAAATATAATCCAAATGAGGGCGAGAAAGATCATCTTGCTCTAACTAATGAGCTTATATAACACCTAACTCACGTCCAAAAATTCACATGAACAAAACCACCAAGGTCTTTCCCTGGAGCTGACTGATCTTCCCTGTCAAGGTCATCTACATTTCCCAAAGACATCCATCTACATGTGGCCCAAGTCATCAACACAGACGCGGAGCAGGACCTTCTGCACACAGGCCAGTGTCACACCCTTCATTCCCAAAGGCCAGGGAAGAAAAACTCACCGATTTGTCCTTCACAAGCAGGGCGCAGCACTGGATTCCAGCCAGAAGCATCTTGTGTGGGTTCCAGGCCACCGAGTCAGCCCTGTTGTGTGAAACAAAGAAGAGGACAGAGTAGAGAGGGGAGTTAATTAGTTTCTACTGGCAGAAGCAATACTATCATTAATTAGCCACATTCATAGTCAGTATTCATACCCAAGTTAGTGTTCTCTAAAACTCCTTTTCAGTGGTGGTTGGGGGGGGGAGGGCGAGTCAGGGGTTGGAGTTATTTTATGAAGAAACATTTTTGGTTTTGGTTTTTGGTCCATTTGCAAAATGAAACTTGGATGGGCAAAGACCAAAGAGATCTCCTCCCTGAAAAGGCAGCTGGGCGCTGGAAACTACATTTACCTGTGGATGCCCTGTAGTAGCTGGCGATACTTCCTGGACATCAAAGCTGAGCCACCCCAAGAAGCCTGTTGAGATAGTCGCATAACCAAAACAGCATTATGTTAATGTTACTTGTTTACTCTCTGGTTGTCAATAGAAAACCCTGAGTAACAACCTCTGTCTACCTTATCCGACACTGCTTTTGGTCATGTTAACAATTTTATTCCAGAAACGTTTGATCACTGACTCTCCTCAGAAACCAGACTTCATTTGAATAGAGGGGCCACCATGAACCATCAGAGTATTTTAACGAAGTTCATCTGCGAACCAGTGGAGCTGCATGTGGACCGAAAGAGGCTAAGAAGACAGTTCAGGCCCTTGAAGCTCAGAACCTAAAACAGATAACCTCTTCCCAGTGCTGGCATTCTAACATGTATAGTGTGCAAAACATGGCATGTCACTTCAGATAAGAAAAGGATGCAAGAGGGATAGAGGACAACACAGGAACTAGGGTGGGGCGAGGTGGAAATAGGTCATGTTCAATGAAAATTGGGCAGTCCCTGGTTGATGCAAATATCCCTGGTTGATACAAATAGTTAAGCCTTCCACTACATGCTAAAAGGTTGGAAATTCAAAATCACTGAGGCAGCTCCGAAGAAAGACCTGGTGAACCTTATAAAGTAGTTCTACTCCCTACCCAAGGGGTTGCTGTGAATCAGAATCGACTGGATGGCAACTCACCACACAGGATGAAAACTCATCATCTTTGCAGCTAAATGGATTTCAGACATATTTGCAAAGCAAAATGTGGGCGCAAAAGAGAGGAAACCTGATACCTACGGAAGTTTTGCATGCAAAAGGTCAACTTTTGTGTCCCAAAGAGAGGGGAAAGCTAAAAATGAAAGGAAAGGATAACCTGTAGTCAATAGGTCTAGTGGGAAGGAAATGAGGGGAAAAAAATCAATGTGGGAATATTAGTATAAAAGGCGGTGTAGTCCTTGAAACTAAACAGACTTCCATGCTCTTAATTTGTAGAGCAAGGAAGAGTGACTGAAGTGAGAGGAATTCAAGGGAACTAGCTTGAGCTCTGTTGCGTGTTCTTCCAGGTTATTTAAACCTCACAACATCCCACAGACATTGGGCTATTACCACTCCAATTTACAGATCCACTGAGGCTCAGAGTCAATAGATGCATTGCCCAAGGTCTCACAAATAATAACAGTCAGATCTGAGATGCATAGCCCCTGCTCTTAGCACAGTAACATCGTAACGGAGGAAAGGTGACCACCCATTGACAAATGGTCCAACACGAGAAATAAAGCACAAAGCAAATAAATGGTGTAGGCACGAGGTGAGGTCAGAAGCTGCTTAGGATGTAGACCAAGGTTATCTTGGACCTTAAATTTTCAAGTTAGTAGGCCCCAGACCCACGGAAGAAATTTTCCAACATCATGTGTGCCTTCGTTCAGGAAAATGACGGAAATGAGACATCTCTAGCATCCTGAAGTGATTACAAACGCTGGACCCATTGGTGTGCAAACAGAGATCGTCCAACACAATCCTGTATCTTGTCCTCACATTCCATTCCCTCCTCCACCAGCTGGGACTAGAGTGAGGTTAGTGAGTCACTTAAGGTAGCACTCACTCACAGAACTGAATAGTATTGACCTTATTCTAACACAAACCTGAGAATAGATGTCTCTTTAATGAGACATGTACTACCTTCCCTGGGCCTTGGAATGAGTAGCAGGCAGGAGACTTTGGGAAGCTGTGCTGAGCACAGAAACATTTGCAGCATCCATAGCTTCTACTTCAACAAGAGTTTGACCTAACATGACATCCTGGAGTAAGACAGGGGCTGCAAGAATATTTGTTGTCACGGAAAAAAGCATGGTCCTCAAGAAAAAAGGTTCCAGTGAAATTAAAGTTTTTCTGCTTTAATTGTTAAGTACAAACTGTAATTAATCAAATTTAAGACTTTATCAAAAGCAAGATTCATCATTTTCAGGTACTACTGAGAAAAATAAAGGCATCTGTATACTAATTTCAGAGTTGGTAAAATAATGTATTAGAAAGTACTTTATAGGATTAATGAAATCTATTGAGTGCATACACAGAGTGACCTTGTATATAGAGAACAAGATACCAATTTTTAGTATCTTAAAGAATCTAAAATATGAGGGAACTAGAAAAGTATTGTTATTATGTTTCTAATTTCTACATATGTGGGCTTATTCCCAACAAGACACGCTTAACTCTGTCTCAGCAAGCAGTGAATGGCTGCAGACAAGTTCTCTCAGTAATGTATTTATCTTAGTCTTGTTAGTGTGCCTAACGAAATAAATAAATAAGGTCCAATCAAAACAGTTGGTTTCCTAGCAGATCTGCCAAGCCAGTTAAATTTAAAGAGTTGAGTTCAGAAGGTTACAGCCACAGTGTTTTGGAATTTAAAATGGGTAATCTTATTGAAAAGAGGTAATCTTGCCAATTTTCTTGAAAGACACAGGATAATCACAAGCTCTTATTACAAAGAAGCCTTAAGAAAATGGACAATGGTGTTTGTGAGACAAAGGCTGGGAAAGTGGTGCCAAGAATCTTTTTGGCCATCCTAACAATGCACCTGCTCATTGGGTGGTGGCAAGGGCTGTCCTAAGAAGAGAATTTCTTTAGCAGACTTTATCCCATCCAACTTACATCCCTGATCGTGTCCTTCAGACTTCTTTGTGTCCCCAAAACTCAAAGAACATTTCACAGGAACACAGTTTGAATTATAATAGCTCAAGATTCTTCAGGGAAGACATCAACACCTCCTTCAGAAATTTATACAGCTAGGTGGAAGGTATGTTGAGAAATAATAGGGTCACACTTTGATATTTTTGTTTCCTAAAAGTCTGTATGATTTTATAACAATATATTTTTTACTTCTCCTTATAACCTTTAAAATCTTTGCCCCAAATCCAACCAATTGCTGTTAACTTTGTAAGGTTTCACTTCTAATTAACTACCAATAGCATATGAAACGTTTTCAATATAAATTAGTCATGTAAGAAATTGTCTCGATAAATTCGATGCTGGCAATATTAAGGAATAGATGAACATATCTTAATATTAGAATTTATTAATTTCTTTAATAGGTCAGATAGACCATCATAACATTTAATATAACACTATCAGCATTTATTAGATTCTTGCTTTGTGCAAATAAGATAATTTGGTACAGGTTAAATTTCCATATAAAATGGATAACTGTGTTTCCTTCCAAAATCCCAGCTTTAATTATCAAATGACCTAGAGAGCTTTTCATTCATACTTCTCCTAATATCAATCCCAATCTGGATATTGCTATAGTTACTTTGTTTTACATGAACTATATAATCCATATTTGATGTTTCCCCCCTTTTCCCACAGCTATAAACCTATTCACATCATATGATCCTTTAGAACCTAATGTACTGTTATGCTTCTGTCTTTAAAAATCACTATGATATAAATTGAAATGTGAAAAGATATATTCCCATTTATAGAAGCCACAAGTAATCTGCCTGAAGTATTGCCATTGGCATGCTAATGGAGTTTGTAACTCCTGTGAGCTTTATATTACAGCTGTTTTGTTTTTGTTCAGTTTTAACCAAATGTTAGCATAAATTTAGTGAAAATCTTCAGTTGCTGAAAAATTCTCTCCATATTCTATCAGACATTTTATTTTTAAAGCATAAAGTAATTTAAACTATGAAGTTATGTATGTAGGTAGGTAGGTATACATTTCGAATGTTCAGTTCAGCAAGCAAATGATATTGGCCTTTCTTCTTCCATTAAAGAAGATAGCACCTATTTTGATAACCTGAGGAAAATGCTTGCAAGTAAAGTGTCATTAGTGTATCCAATAGTCCCTTATTTTGAATTGAATCAAATGAATTAGTTTCTGGCTTCTCTTTCACATTCACACACAAGCTCATAAATGGATAAATGGATGAATTAAGCTTTTTAACCTTTGATATGTAAAATTTTAAGAGTTACCTTTAATTAAAGAAAACATTATGAAGAACTTAGGACTTAGAAAATGAATTAGGACCAAAAAAAAAAACCTAGCCAATCCTCTCATTAGAAAATTATCTATAATAGATCCAGAAAAAGCCTGCTTTAATTATAGCAGGCAATTAGGTAAGGTAGCTTTTTGCATTCTCTTGCTGATTGAAACCATACCATTTGAGACTAGACTTAGAGTCCACATCTCCTTTGTAACAAAAGCATTGACCAAAGGGGAGGTCACAATGAGAAAGGTTCTGGGGTCCATCATTCAAAATCGTGACCCCTGTACCTTACTACATCAATGATAGTCAGTTTCAGGGACCGAAGAAGATAGTTCATGGTTGTGGCAGGGGCGAGGCCCTACTAAAGTGGAATCCAGAAAACAAAAATACGATTTACATCAAGGCTTGAAATCATCTTCTTTGCACCTTACAGGAAAGACCTCGTTTCGTTCCCCAAGTTAGAAACAAACACATAAATACAAGCTCCCATCCAAAATGGAGACTAGTCCACTCCAGCAGCAAAAATCCTATAAAGTTAACTGTAGGCACTTACATCCACATGAAGCCAGAGGCCTTGCCTCTCGCAGATGTCAGCAATTTCATCCAGAGGATCGAAAGCCCCCAACACTGTTGTGCCCGATGTGGCACACACCAGAAACGGAGCGGCTCCCTGTGAGAAGGATCCACACACAGAGAGAGTGATCACTGTCATGACTAAGTGCGTCCTGCAGGACAGGCAAGAAGCAGAGTTAAATATCCAACATTCATTTGGTTTCTCTGGAGACAGGCAGGAATTCACGGGTTGAGGCAGGTTAAGGGAACTGAGAAAATGATACACACTAGTTATCATGTGTCCCGACTCTTTCTCATTTTTGCTCTCATTGTCTTTCTGTAGTAAGTTCTGATCTATAGATAGTCGAGATAGGAAGAAAATAGCCTCCACTGTAATGATGAAGTGAGATTCCATATGACGTGTAATTCTTTCTGGGAGAACGACATTGCCCTCCATCATGCTCACATTGGTACCCCTCTTCCAATAACAAGGAGCACGCTTGAAAGATAACCAGCCTGCTCTGGGTATGAACTATGTTGACTTGTCATCTTGTAAAGTAAATGTAGTTTCAAAGCAAAGAATATGCTAAAACTCAAATTTGGCATTGTAGCAGATAAAAGAATCTCACTGGGTGGGATACGCATTCCAATATGGTAACCACCACAGCAAAATCTGTTGGAATGTGCTGGAAAAGAGAGCCTGCATCGTTTCTCCCACGATGACTCCTCCACACCCAGCTGATGGAGTGAACAAGCAGCAGTAAGAAAGGAGAGTGAAAGAGAGAATGGGGAGTATGTAAGGGGATGAATGATGAGCAGAGCCAGCCAACCAGATGCTTGGGCGCCATTCAGATAGTTCGTTCCAATGAGCTTAAAGAAGGAACACCTGGTGATGTTCACAGTCAATGACCTCACCTGCTGAACAAAAAAGTAGAGCTTTGCGGCTACCCGGAGGTGCCTCAGAACAAAGGACTGGTGATGTGCTTCTAAAAAGGCAGACACGGAAAAGCCTGTGGAGCACGGTTCTACTCTGGTACACATGGGGTCACCTGGCGCTGTCATTGACTCCATGGCAACCAGTTTAGGTAGAGGAAGAGTATATAAGGCTGCTTCCAAATGGACCGATCCCTACATATTAGCATTCATGTGCTGCTCCCTGTAGATGTTAAAGTGCCTCAAAATATGGGGCACTTCACCAATAAGAGACAAGAACCTTTGTTGCCTTAAAAAGTCATTTTACCTCCATTTAGAATGGAAACATTTATTGTTCCTCAGTTTTATTTCCAAGTACAGTTGTTAGTGAAAAGGATTTTTATGTCCCTTTGATAACAAAGGTTGTATTGGACTCAAACTCATTCCACATCGGCTGACCTTTGATAGAAAGATGCTATTGTCTTAATAGTTGAGAAAAGACATGCGTGCACTCTGTAAATGGCGATGCAAAGGGAAGGGTACATATGAAATCACTTATCATTTTGGCACAAGTCCTAACACATGGAATCCAGTCTAGTCAAGCTTCTTAGAGACAGACAAGTGTCTGGGGGAACTATGGAGTTTCTAAATTCCTCTCTGTATTCAAGTCCCAACAGGGTAAATCTTGATCAGGCCCCATGACCTAAAGGAAATGATACCAGGTTTGCATCCCTCATTAAAAACAGTCAAAATCAATGTCATTTACTAAAACCACTTAACGTCTCTAACGGGTCGGCTTTTCTTCATCAGCTCTGTGGCACCGAGGTAGTGGGAAGAAACCACTGATGCAAATGATTCTAGCACATTAATGAGTCCTCGCCACCATCCTAGCTTTAAATATCAGGCCCACAAATTAAATGTTTGCAATCTGGATTCAACCTGCCCTGTTTTGGGGGTTGTTGTTGTTGTTGTTGTTTTCTTCCCCAGATTGCATGCTGTTAATGAGAAAATTCAGAGGAAGCAATACTGATTGCATCCTGCAGACGAGCTATATTCTAGAAAAAGTTTGTTATTTCCAACATTCACATACAAAAATACCTCCATGTATGCAGCATTATCCTCATTTTTGCTTTTCCTAAGCACTTTTGAATCTCTACTGCTTCTGTGGCTTTCGCTGTCATTGTAATGGCGTTGAATAAAGGTCACCGCTCTGCAGTTGTTAAATGGGTTGTGATTGGCTGGGGAATTGAATCCCAGCAGAAAAACAGTTGATATGCTGTTGCCTATATCTGAAACAATATGACTCAAAGTCTTGAAGCAAAGCAAGAAAAATAAACTAGTCATCATGTATTATTAGCTAAAGATGGATGCAAGGTTTGTCCTTGGTGAATCCAGTATCAAGTCTATCCAGTATACTGTGAGAGAAGTTCGAAGAGACTAACTCTAACCCCATTGCCCTACTTTTAAATTTGCCTAAAGCAATTTTTTTTCCTTTTAAAAAACTTCCAGTTCTCACATTCTCAACTTTAGAATTGTCAGATTCATGTACTTTCATTGTCAAAACAGAATTTTTTAGTAACAAAAATAATGACTATAGTGGAAGGAGACACATAAAATACACTGGAAACACAAGTTCTTAATGATACTAAAAAAAAAAAAAGGAGGGGGTGTATCGTTGGAGGATGCTAAGCAACCAGTCACTCGCTTGATAACAGGTAAAAAGAGAAAAGTATAAAGGATTTCTCCTGCTTTTCCTGGGCCATTGGTCCCATAGGAAACCCGAACAGAAATGAGAGCTTTTGTTTTGTTTTGTTTTCTTCTCTCTTTAAATTAACATGCCAGCCAATGAATGGAAGAAAACAAAATGAGATCGGCTGATAAAAGAGTAGGCCTGGACATTGGTCATCAATGGGAGGGAAATCTGTGAATGAGAGGCAGGTGGAGAACATTATAATGTATAGATCAGGTTGGCAGCACCTGAACCCACCAATCAGTCTTAACACAACAAAGTGATGTTTTCTGATAGAAAGATAAAAGGCTACCTGTGACATGAGTCTTGGTAAAGAAATCCAAGAGCTAATCTGAATTTCATCGAGCCTCAAGATCTAACTGCCAAATTATAGGAAATCGAGAGAACAGAGTGAAAGCAAGAAATCAAGCCCTTCAATTTTTTTAATTCTTTAGGTAATCTGTAAAATCTATAAGGTGGAAAACACAGTAGGGCCAGAGAATTGGTTTATCAAACAAATCAATTGTAGAGTATTAAAAAGGAGGTGAAGCTAAAGATTCAAAAGATTTAGGTGATGTAGCAACTAAATGCTACATGTGGACCGTATTTGAATCCTAATTTAAACAAGCCAATGATTTAAATAACTAAAAGGCAAGATAGGCAATAGTAGAAATATTAATATAGAATGGATATTTGATGGTTTTTTGGTGTTAAGACAGTATCACTTTTTAAAAGGTATCATCATAGAGCTGTGTGGTTTAAAAGAACTGTGTCTGTCGTGATGTCTGAAATTTGCCGCAAAGTAATCCAGCGTCCATGGGAAGGGCTTAGAAATGAAACAGCATTAGCATGGGTTGATGATTAGTAAAGTTTGTGGATATCTATTTTAAATTTGTTCTCATTTTATTTCCTGTTATCCTGACAACTAAGATTTCCCTATGTTTTACCTTGTCGCTGCTGCTGGAGTTTGTTGAAATCCAGGATAGGTCAATCTATAGCGACAGTTCCCGATTGCTAATGGCTTGGGTCATGGCAGGAAAGGTGGGGGAAGAATGGGGAGCTAATCATAATGAGTACAAGAAAGAAGTATAGGTTGGGGTGATGATTGCACAACTCCTTTAAATGTGTTTAGACTATTTGAATGTATGAGACATGAATTATGTGTCAAGGAAACTGTTAAAGAAGTTTTTAACTTTATGGGTGTAAGGGAATGTATGACACACTCGTCTATAATTATGGTTTTATATACATTTCAAATTTGCATTCTTATAGAGAGAGAAGAAGGAAAGGAAGAGAGAAAGAGAGGAGATAAGGAGTGAAGAAAAAATGAATATGAAACATGTAAAAAGATGCAACCCATTCCCCCTGCCAAGCATTGAAGACATGAAATTTCTATCTGATAGAAACTTCTATAGAAAAAAAATCATACGAACTAAAACTAGAAAGCACCGTCTTTGGTTCAGAGCAGAACTGCACATGTAGAACTCTACCCAAGAGTCAGAAAGGCAAAAACAAAAAAATGGATAGTCTAATTTCAAATCGACTTGTCACTGAGATGAGTCTTAAAGTGGAAAAAAGTAACTGTTCACGTAAGGACATAATCATGAACCAATACATATGCTTGAAGTCTATGCTGAGCAATCATTCCATCATTGCATGTCAGGCAAAGGTGATTTTTAAACAAGTTTTAAAAATGAAGTAATAGAAATAGAATAAAAATGAAAATTAAACACGTTTTAGTGTGGAAAAAAGATGGTGAAACATATACTTACATCCCAACACACAAGCCAGATTTTTCATCTTTCATCTGACCTGGTGGGCTTTGCTGCTACCGATTGGGGAGTTCTGGGAGAAGGATCTGATGCTCCATCCGTAATGGAGAGAGCGGTGGGATAGGGGGACTGACGCTAAGACACTGGCTCACTTAATCCACTGGGGTTTGATTTCAGGTGTGCTGACCAAGAAGTAACGTGGCTGGCACCTCCATCCTTGAAGGATGCATAGCACACGAGTAGGTCCATGTCTTGCCTTCCCATGAAAAGGGCATGTTAGTTTCAAGGCATTCTGGCAGCTAAGAAAGAAAGGACATTCTGAAATACTGGACTGAGACTTACTCTGCAGGGACGTCTGTGGAGGAGCTTTCAGTTTCGGAACACCTTGAGAAAGTAGGTTGATCAAAAACTCAAGACTACCCCTTCACGCAACCCAGAACCGACTGCTGGCCCAGCAGACTTTCTGAGAGTCACGCACTAAGTAGGACCACTAATGTTGACAACATCCTGGAGAGGCTGGGTTCATCTTTGGGACTGACGAATTCTGTGCAAGGTTCCCAGATACGGTGCTGTCAATAATGTAGTACATTCCAGAAACCTGGGGATGACACCATCTGAGCAACTGGAAATAGAACATCTGTAAATGAGTTTCCCCCTTTTAGCTTCATGGTGTTCTTCTCTCTCTCCCACATGCAGAAATGGGTTTGGCATTCTCTCCCTGTCATGCTTTGCCTCGTTTTCAGAGCCAGACACACACATACATTTCTTTCCCTCTTTTTTTCGCTCCCTCTCACCTCTTTTCTGGCTTTCCCAACTTGTTTCTCCAGTTCCTCAGGTATCATTTTACCTCTAAAGGACAGATTTGAGAAGGTCAGTTATGTTCAGAAGTTCACAGACAATGCCACACCCTCTAAAAGAGACCATCTGAATTGCCTCCTCCACCCCCCCAGCTTCTGAATCCTATCCAAATTACCTTCCATCTGTTTCCACAAAGCAAACATTCTCAGTACCAATCCCAAGAAAGGACGCCGCTTTCTTCATGGAGTAATGACACTGAATTGAAAGGGTCAGAGAGTAAGAGAGAGACATGAATACACAGCATAGAGAAATAAAACTAAAAACATTGCTTGTTTTCTAAATGGATGTAAGCCATCATGGGTGTGCAAAATCCTCAGGGCATCATTGCATACAATAAATACCAATTTAATTGAGTGCCTACCTATCGTGGTTGTGTACATTGATGGTGGGGTCAGAAAACAGGATTGAACTCCAAGTTCTGCTGGGTACAGCTAGGGGCCCTTGAACAAATAACATACCTACTAAGACTCAGTTTGCTAGTCTGTAAAGAGGGCCTAACAATCATGTCCTCTCCACCAACTGGCTAAGAATTAAATAGGCTACTTCATTTCAGGAAAAAATACCTTTCCCCTGATGCCACTAATAAGACAGCATTAGTGGAAACTTGGAATTTAGTTCACTGTGGACTCAAAGCTCTGTAAGGAGAGAGCAAGAGGCTCCATCTCAAAGATTGCAGTCAAAAGACTGGAGAAGTATTTCGTTATTTCCAGAGAACAAACATTTTAAAAGTTGTGGGGTATTTTAAAGGCAGGCCAGCCTGGTTTAATATTGAGCACCAGGCTGACCTCAGATGCACAAAGGTAAATAACAAAAATAATTATAGATATACTATTCTACTCGACATGAGTGGGGCTAATAGATGGTTCTGGACGTAGGTCTGGTCTGTTTCTTACCAGCAAATAGTAATAGATACTTTAGCTTGCTTTTCTCTACCTCCACGATATACAGTCTATAAAATAATTAGCATTCAAACATTGGCGACATCGCTCTTTATACATTTGTGAGGACAGGTGGTCAATTAATTCTTTTTCGTGCCAGAAAAATGAAGGTGTTAAAGGACATTACTGTACCAAAAACCTCAGTGATTTAATTTGTAGGTGTGAATACATTAAAACTTTAGTCATGCCTTCACACTTAACTTGATATATTCCCTCAAACATGGTCATTTTTTTTCTTCTTTTGTCAAGAGGTTTAGATTGGGAGCTACTTTGTTTTTGTTGGTTGTTGCGTAACTTTATAAAAATAAATGCAGATGTCACACCACCAGGAACAATAAAACCATCCTAAATAATTAATTTCCAAATAGCAAATGGGACACATCCCAAATGCCTGTAAGGATGCATTCATTTCAGGTTGTTACAGGAACATATGCATATTGAAGAGTCATAAGGTACATGAAGGGGGAATTAATTCTCTCCTTGCTGTATCCGCCTGTGCGCCTTCGAGGTAACACGCCCAGCATAACTAAGGTGACACAGCTGAGGTGAATTATTTGTCACCAGAGATTTGGACCCTGACAACCAAACAACTATTGATTTTGTAATGCTAAATAGTAGCTTACCCCACTGACATCTGCCCCTGAAAAATAGCCCCTGAAAAATAGCAGAATATCTCCCCACCAATGGATCTCCTGAGCCAAAGGCTTGTCATCAGCATAGCTTCGGTGCAGCTATCTTTAAGTACCTCCGGGCAGGGCAGAATGAAGTCCAAAGTCAATTGCAGAGGGATAGGGACAGAACAAACAGTCTGTAAAACAGAAGTCTAAACATCTGAGAGCATCAGAAAAGGCAAAGAGGCCTGGAAGGGAGGGAAAGAGAAAGAGAGGGATGCTTCAGACATGCTGAGCCGTTTCACAAAAGGAAAAAGCTAGCAGGCTGGCGTTCAGAAGTAATACTGCATTTAGAAACAAACGGTAGCTGTTCCCTTGGCCGGCAAAAAAAAAAAAAAAAAAAAGCAGTCATTCTAAGACCCAAGTTCCCCGTGGGTTTGAAATGTCTACAGAAGATGCAAACGTCTCAGCGGTAGTCGTTGCTATAAAGATAGAGCAGCCAGCGCCTGCGTGAAAGGCAGCACTGAGCTGGCATTTTACTCTGATGCCAGCGAGGATTTCTCATACGACCTTGGGGTTCTCCAGGAGCCATTGTTCCACTCGAGTTAGGTGGGGCTCTTGACACTTGGACTTTTTGTGCTCACAAATTTGAGATCAGTTAGCTTTAGGTGGCAGGGAAGGGAAGGGTTTATATACACTAGGGAATGAGAAGAAGGGGTGTACAGGTGTCGAAGAGCAAACAAAACCAGAATAGAACCCACATAGATTGAGTTAGTTAATTGTGCCAGCCTGGCCGATAATCACATGTGGGGCTAATTGAAAGGCAGAAGGATAAATGGGTGGTGAGCCTCGCCTTTCTAGTTCTCGGGTCTCTTGTTTTGTGATGGTTGCACCGGGTGCAGCTGCCTTAGCAGTTCCCTGCTTCAGCTTGCAAGATTGACTTCCTACAAGACATCCCCAAGGAGAAGCCACATGGACTTATCCCGATGCAGCCCTGGGTGCTGGAGCAGCCGTGTGGAGACCCCTGCTAGTGCTGAGATGCTTATTCGTTCACTAACTCAGCTTTCCTCCTGCAGTCGGCATCATTGCCTCTGTTTTGTGAGGTGGAGGACTTTGTGGACTGGTGTTGGGTAAATGGGTTAATGTTGGACTTGGGCAGCATTGGGTTGGGATGTTTTCGTGATGCACATTTTCTTTACATAAAACTCTTATACATGAGTTACTGTGGATTTGTTTCTCCAAAGTACCTAGACTAATACCAATGTTGCCCTTTGAGAAAACCCACAGAGACATCTACGGTGAGGTCAGTGCACCCCAGTGGGCAGGGCCACCAGAGCAAGGTGACCCAGAGGGCAAAGTGTAAGAAGGCAATACACTGACCCTCACACCCCAAACATACATCCTGGTCACACTAGCCCCAGTTCTGCTGGAGGAGGAGGAGGTCTAAAGTCAACTGACTGGGAGGTAACAGTTCTTTTTTATCAGTCATGATTTTTCGTGACAGATAATGAACACTGCTTTATGCTGATTCCCCCAAAAAGTGATGGGAGTCATCCAGGAATATTAGACCCTTAGGATTTCTGCACTCCCAAGAAATGCATATCTCAGTGCTCACCGAGTCCCAGTTCATGATTTTCTTCAAAAGCCCACTTACCTTAGATTCCCACTGAAAAATGGAGAGACATTCTTGGACATGTTATCAGAATAGGTCTGTCACCATTGACAGCGTTCAATCAGTCAGAACCTGAGGTGCGTAAGAGCCCTTTCTATTGTGGGCGCAGACTTTCTGTATTGGTTGTGTAGAGCCATGGGATGAGTTCTTAACCTGGTTAGTCTGGGGCACTATAGACTCCAGAAAGGGAGAGGACTAGATAACACAATACAGGAAAATAATAACAGGGCCACGAGTGAATACCTAAAAGAAAACGAAGGTGGTCCAGTGAAAAGACAAAGGTGGTCAGAGTGGTTAGGAACATTTTGGAAATATAAAAGCCAACCAAACTCATTGTCATTGAGTCAGTGCTAACCTGCAGTGACCCTATAGGACAGGAAACATGTCATTTTTAATTATTTAAAAAATTAACTGGTTGTAGTAAGTGTTAAACGTGACCACTAACATATAGATTAAAATGATGTGACTCTTATAAACTGGATCTTTTAGGTGGAAGAGAAGAGAGGAAATCATACAACTGAGTTGGACAAAAAGGGAGGAACCGCTATTCAAGGGTCAAGTGTTCTCAAAAAACAAGGGAGTTTTTCTCTGAAATTCACATCTAATTCTTATTTTTCAAGTCCGTCATCTGATGGGACGCTAGTCAAGGTTCTTGCATATAAAACTCACCAGAGATTAAAGTGAAAAGTCACTTAGTTCTGTTTTCACAGCTAGATGAGGGTTCACCTGCTGTTTACTCTCAGGTTGCCAGCCATGGTTGTGTAGAGCCATGGTTGTGTAGAGCCATGATTGTGTAGAGCCATGGTTGTGTAGGCACCCGTCATGGCACTGCCCAGTTCTTTATTGTGTTGCTCACAAATTGAAGGTTTGCAGCAACCCTGCATTTGAGCAAGTCTGTTAGCTCAACAGCAGGTACTTACTTACTGCCTCTGTATCACATGTTAGTAATTCTCCCACAATTTCAAGCTGTGTCATAGCACTACAGTGCACTTAAAAGTTGTGAGTATAGTGTAAGCACGACATTTATCTGCACCGAATAAGCACACATCTACATGATGCACTTTATTGCCGGACTCACTCTAACCCAGTGGCCTAGAACTAAACCTGAAATGTAGCTTTGGTATGCCTATCTTGTAGATCACCACCACCACCACCACCCGGTCCCCCCAGCTATCACGACCCAGTTCTATCTTACAAATCTGGCTAGACTGGAGTACGTACACTGGTACAGATA